TTGTCTCACTAGTCCTAGAAAAACAAAGACAAAAAAAAATTAAAAAGCAAACTAAGACAGCAGGGAGCTTTGAGGGTAATGAGATAAAATGTGTGGATGCCTGACGAGGGTTGGATTATCATCAAGTTCTGCTTACAGGTGTTCCTCAGCTTCATTCAGCACTTGTGTGTCAGTTTGTCATATTGTGGTGGCTCATACATTAGAATATTGAAGACTGTACCTTTTAATATGAGTACGATATCAACATACAGAAAACTTCCCATAACTGAATCAATAAGCAGTAACACGATAAATGGAGAAAATAATGCAGTTGTGAAGGATTTAATTTTACTTGGGTCCATCATGCCCATGGAGGGAGCAGCAAGAAGTCAAATGAAGCAAATACACTCTAAATCTACTCTCTGAAGTGTTAAAAAAGAAAAAGTGTCATCCTAAAAACTAAGATGTACCAGATTCAAGTCACAGTGTTTTTCAAATGCATTTGAAAACTGGGTGATGCATTTGAACTACAGTCCTGGACAAAAATACTGAAGATACTGTGACAGGTAAGAAAAAAAAAACCCCAAATACAATCACAGCAGAATGCTTTTTTGGAATCAAGGATGACAAGACTTCATCATCTCAGTTCTTTAGAGATGTTTTAGGAGGAACCAGGCCCTGGAGGAAGAACTCTCCAAGATGGGCAGGCGTGGTGGCTGTGTGATGGACACACACAGGAAGGTTTGTGAGGACTGTGCAAGATCGGGCAGTGTTTCCTTCTGCTGTAGGGAGGTGCCAATTCTGCAGTGTCCGACAACAAAAACATTTTTCAAAGCATGACCAATTTGGCAATTTTGATTAAAATGTAGGCACTAAATTAGAAATTGCATTTCATCAGCAACTCCATCAGACTTGTTCCCTATGTTTTTGTGGGTTCTTTTTCATTTTTAAAAAACCTAGTTCATACAAATATATACACAACTAGCAACTATTTTACAGTTTTCTTGGTACTCTTAGGATATTATTCAAATGAACTGACACAAATGCCTGAAAGAGAGTTGAATATATTTGTTTAAAATATGTTTATCTTCAGTATCTTAAAATATTGTTATTGTTGTTGTTAGGTGCCATCGAGTCGAGTATAATCCATAGGGACCCTATGAACAACAGATCTGAACCCTGTCCTATCTTATGCCATCCTCACACTTCCTGACACAGTGGTGCAACTACCCCACATTGGCAGTTCCTGAGAAACAAATGATGGCTACCATCTAGTTCCTGACTTTCATACTACAGTGTTTGCTGTTTGAGCAAGTAATCACATATTGAATATCATGTAGAAATTACAGGTGATGTTGCCCCCTGATTCTAGTAATTTTATGTGCATATGTTACTTGAGTTATTTAGAATCAGTCTTAGATTGCTACATATTTATGAAGAGTAGAGTGACTAGTGTTGAGAAAAGAGGGAAGTCAAAATGTGAGGGATGTTCTCTCCAGGTTGAATCCATCCTGAGGTTTCCTTGCTTCCTTTTTTTTTTACTTTAGTAAAAGTTCTTTGTGAGATATCCCAAATTATAGTTAACATAAAATAGATAGAAATCTATTAGCTAATGAATGTTGTATAATGTTACTAGCATTGCAGTTTATAAAAATTGTTAGGAAGTTAATTAACTTAATACCCTAAATGAGATATCAGAACTTGAAATGTTAAGAGAAAATTCTTTATGTTCCTTTCTTGAATTCTGGAAATTCCTTGGAAAGAAAATAATCTTAAAACAACAACAACATCTACAACAACCCCCCCCCTTTTTTTTTAATTTGTCAAAGATTAATGTCAGTAATGTGGTTTTTAATGGCACTTTCTTTGGAAGAACCTTTGTTTTGCTTGACAGGAGTCAGGAGTATAATGTGCATATTTGTTTTAGATTGCATAACACATCTTTCCCTAAGTGATAATCATTAAGATGAGGGAAGAGTGACTGGAATCTAAGTTTATTAAACTCCATCTGGCAACTTTTTTACAATTTTTATATAAGCATCAAAAATATTATGAAATTAACCTGCAAACAGTTATTACTATTTTATTGATTTTGTAATACAAATGACCTAAAAAAAATGCTGATAAAAACAAGCTGGAATATTAGTAGTGTGTCTGTTAAGTCTCACTTTGCAGGTATAAAATGAACAGTTTTTACTTTGCATGGTTTGAATCTCCTTCCTAATGCTACTACTATAGTTGAAGTGTTTCTTTTTCACCCACCCTGTGAGTTCATATCTATTCTCAAAGAATGGTAGTTGAAGTTCTCAACTTGTATTTCTTTCTTTTTTTTTTTAGAGATCAATAGTTTTCATTCTATTTCTTGTGAATTTGTTAACAGTAATATACATAGACTTTTAAAAAATATTTTCTTTGTAAAAATTAGAAATTTTGAAATAAACTGTGCCCTTAAGTCCCTTCTCAGTAGTTTATCTCCTGGCAATACCATGATTTATGTTAGTCATATAGTAGTTTAAGGACTTCTAAATGGTTCATAGTCAGTATTTGGCTCAAATTTACGATATCTGTTGTTTCTTTGACATGAGGAAAAGAAATGGCTGTTCCATTTTTCTCTCTTCTTTGAAACTATAAATATGACTCTACTATTATTATTTTGTGAGTAGCTCTGGTAGCCTGGTGGTAAGGAATTGCCCTGCTACCTCAAAGTCACATGGTTCAAATACACTAGGTGCTCCATGGGAGAAACATGAGCAATCTCCTCTTGGGCAATTTATAACCTATAAAAATCCACTGAGGTTAGTTGTGAGTTGGTTATAACTTGACTGTACACAATAACAGCAACATTTTTATTTTATGAGGAGCCTGATGGTATAGCATGTAATGTATTGAGTTACTACTGAAAGGTATGTAGTTCAAATCCACCAGCTACTCTCCAAGGTGGACAATCTTCTACGAAGACATAACAACTCCAGAAATCTGATGGAGAGAGGTCATGAGTTGGAACCCACTGGATAGTAGTTGATCTGGTTTAATTTGGTTGGTACAATGGTTAGAGTGCTAACTGCAAAATTAGCAGTTAGTAACACACCAGGTGCTCTGTGAAAACCACGTGGTGCAGTACAACTCTGTCTGGTAGGGCCTCTGAGACAATATGAGAGAGTCCCTGCTGAGCTGTAGTGGCCTAGTGGCAAGAAGCTGCACTGCAATCCCAGAGGTGCACAGTTCAAATCCACCAGATGTTCTGCTGGGGAAGGAGGGACAATCTCCTCCTGTACTAGTCAGATCCTATTTGATGGTACACACACAAAAATTAATAGTAATAAAAAAAATAGTCCCTGCAAAACAACTATGAGATATCTCGCCTAGTAAGAATAGCAAAATTTAACGGAACAGCAAACATTGAATGTTGGTGAGGTTGTGGAGAAACTGGAACCCTTACTCACTGTTGGTGGGAGTGTAAAATGCTGCAACCACTACGGAAAGCTGTTTGGTGCTTTCTAAAAAAGTTGCAAATAGAAATACCATTTGACCCAACAGTTCCACTACTGGGAAGTTACCCTAAAGAAACCATAACTGCCACCCAAGCATATATATATGAACACCTATGTTTATTGCGGCTTTGTTCATAGTAGCAAAGAGCTGGAAATAACCCAAGAGCCCATCAACAAATGAATGAATAGAGAAGCTCTGGTATATTCACACAATGGAATACTATACAGCATTGAAAAACAAGGAACTCATGAAATATTATGCAAAATGGATGACATTATGCTGAATGAAATATCTCAGCACAAAAGGACAAATATTGCATAGGGCTACTGTTGTAAAATGGGACTGACATCAGGGTTTAGGGAAGACAGAAACGGAGGGGAGGAATGATGTATATTGCTTTGAAACAGATGAGGGAGAAAACTGTTTATAAGGGATATAGGAATGAGTATTCTTGTCATTCCAAAAGTCCAGAGTGAAGGCTGCATAGTGGAGTGAACTTAAGGGGAGGGATTGCATATCAAGAAAGAGTTTTTCTTTTCAAGGAGAAGAATGAATTGGGGAGGGGATGGGCAGGGAGAAAAGTGCAGTAATGAATGACTGGAAACCCCAAGTCCCTGTAAACTTTCATTAAAATTAATAAAAAAAAAAAGCCCCTGAAAAATCCTCATGTTTTAGAATTGTTGTTGTTATGTACTGTCGAGTCGCCTGCGACTCATAGTGACCCTATGTATAATAGCTCTGAAGTCTGCTTTATCTGAGCCAGTCTTATTGTCTCCAGCACACCTGCCACCATAACCCCAGTTACTGTGTCAGTCCTTCTCATCTGGGGTCTCCTGTGTTGTTCCTACACCCTTTGAAGCATGATATTTTTCTCCACAGACTAGTCCTTCTTGGCCACATACCCTAAGCATGTGAGATAGAGCTTCAAAATCCTAGCCTCCAAGGAGCAACCTGGTTTCACTCTCACCAAGATAAACCTTTTTGTTCTCTTGGCAGTCCGTAGTATGTTCAGTACTCTTCTGCAGCACCTCAAGTCAAAGACATGGATTCTTATTTCGTCATGCTTATTCATTGTCATCCAGTTCTCTGATGCATAACAACAACAACAACATCATTAACATTATAGTTATTAAACCTAAGAAAGGAAACTTGTTCCGAAATTGTGTTAAAACCACAAGTATAGGGGTTAACATTTACAACATTTTTTTTTAATATTCAATTCATAACAGATCTAACTTAAATTGGGTCATATGAAGTGGAAACTTGGATTCTACTCTAGAAAAATACTATGTATAATAGATATTATATAATATAGTATATAATATAGTCATGCTTTTATTTTTGAAGATGATAAATTTGCTATCTACAATTATAAATTTTAAGGAAGCCTCCTTGTTGTACTACCTTAAAGATAACTATGTCTGTCTATATATAGTTCGTTGAGTATAATCCCTTGTTAATACTGAAAGATCAATCTCTCTTAATTAGATTTAGTTGAACAAATCTATTGATAGTCCTTGTTGTTTTAGGTAGTCCAACAGCCTTCAGGAGGCATCCCAAAACAAGTGACTACACTGTCCCATTCTTCACCATTGACCATTCAGAAGCCTGGACAAAAGAAGATGCCAGTTGACACTGTAATATCGACCAGCCAGTGTTCTCCAGGTAGACTGTGGCTTTGGAATGCTATGGGGCCTTTGTGTTTTATTTTTTGTTGTTGCTGTTTTATAAAGAGAAAAGAGACTTAATGCTTTGATTTGGTACTTCTTAGAAGATTAAAAGATATCTACACTATTTCATGAAGCCATGTATCCGGATATATATTGCTTTTCAAAAGGAGTTGTAGGGCTGCTGTGGTTAAAGCATTCAGATCCTAACCAAAAGGTCCATGGCTGGTTGGATCCACTACTTACACTGAAGGAGAGGTGAGGCAGTCTGCTTGCACACAGGTTTACCACTTTATAAGCTCCGTGGGGCAGATCTAGCCTGTCTTTCAGGATCAGTGTGAGTCAGAATCAGATCAGTAACAATGATTTGGGTTTTTAAATACTGTTACTGTATTTATTATATAGTATTATATATAATCATAGTATTCTCTGATTAGCTAGAACTGCCTACTAAGAAATTAGCGCTTTTTAGTTTATCAGCTAATATTTAAAAAAAATAGCAACCAAAAATCACAGCAGTATATTACTTCAGTTTGGAAATCTAAGCCTACGTTATGGCTTTCAAGTAAGTCTTTTTAAAATCTAACAATATAAATTATATACATGTTCCAGTCTCCTTTTGTAGTTATTTTTATAATACTGGCAATTCTAGATACAGTTTGAAGACCATTTAATAGGAACTGTGAGAGCTTATTTTTAGAAAGAATTTTGTGTGCGGAGAATAATTCATTGTTATGCTTGAATTTTAACAGTTCTAGAACACATTGACATTTTCCGATTATTCTACATAGTTTAAAATCTTTTGTCTTAAATTTTTCATGATGTGACCTCATTGTATTTTTTGGTGTGTTTCATATTATTCATTCTTGTTTTGTTTTTTACAGCTTCTATTCTAAAGCAGATTACTCTACCAGGGAATAAAATTCTGTCATTTCAACCATCATCTCTTCAGAAAAATATGATAAAAGAGAATGGAACTGCACCCTTCAGGTAAGTATAACAATTAAAACTTGATCCAGTATAAGGAAGCAACACGTAATGAATGAGAATGACTGTATGAAAAAATGTGAATAAAGAATAATGTGGGGGGAGCTCTGGTGGCCTAGTGACAAGGAGCTCCAACTACAATCCCAGAGGTGCACGGTTCGAATCCACCAGATGCTCTGCCGGGGAAGGAGGGACAATCTCCTCCTGTACCAGTCAGGTCTGATTTGACAGTACACGCTCACAAAAATTTAAAAAAAAAAAAGAATAGTGTGAAGGACCTCTGGTGGTCTAATGGCAAGAAGCTGTACTGCAATCCTGAAGGCTTGCAGTTCAAATCCACCAGATGCTCCGCTGAAGAAGGAGGGGCAGTCTCCTCCTGTGCCAGTCAGATCTGATTCGATAGCACACAACAAGTAAAAAATCCAAAAATAAATAGTGTGAAACACAGTGTTTATGAACTTTGTGTGCAAACCAACATAAAATTAAAAAAGAAATAAAAATTTAAGAAAAGAGGGAGCTCTGGTGGCCTAGTGGCAAGAAGCTGTCCTTAAATACCAAAGGCATGCAGTTTGTATCCACCAGATGCTTTGCTGGAGAAGGAGGGGCAATCTCTCCCTATTCTAGTCAGATCCAATTTGATGGTACACACAAAAAATAATAAAAAAATTTAATAAAAAGAATGACCGAATAATGCATAAATAAAGTAAATACATTGATGCTTTTAAACAACAAACCATATTTTAGTGAACATAATTTATAAGCAGTTGTTGTTGTTATGGTTATGTGCCATCGAGTTGCTTGCGACTCATAGCGACCCTATGTACAACAGCTCTAAACTCTGCTCTGTCCTGTGCCAATCGCACTGTCTCCGACACACTCATCCCAATTGCCCCAGTCACCAAATCAATCCATCTACCAGAGGGCCTTCCCCTTCTGCGCTGTCCCTCCACCCTCCCAAGCATGATGTCCCTCTCCGAGGACTGATCCCTCCTTACAGCATAATCAAAGTATATCAGATGAAGCCTCAGAATGCTTGCCTTCAAGGAGCAGCCCGGTTTAACCCTCTCCAGGATGAATCTGTTTCTTTTCTTAGCAGTCCATGGCACCCTCAGCACTCTTCTCCAACACCAAAGCTCAAAAGCATCAATTCTCCTTCTATCCTCCTTGGTCATTGTCCAGCTCTCTGACGCATAACAAGTGATTGCAAAGACCATGGCCCGTACCAGAAGCCCCTTAGTCTCCAGAGATACACCGTTGCTCTTGAGTGCTTTAGAGAGGTCCTACAGCAGACTTTCCCCATTGCAATACCTCTTTTAATTTCCTGGCTTCTGGTGCCAAGAGGGTTGATTGTGGAGCCAAGCAGACTAAAGCTGTGAACAATTTCAGTCTCTTCACCATCCGTCCTGATGCTGCCAATTGGTCCAGTGGTGAGAATCTTTGTCTTCTTGACATTGAGCCTCAATCCATATTGAAGGCTGCAGTCCATGACCCTCAGCAGTAAGCGCTTCAGGTCCTCCTCAGTTTCAGCAAGCAGGGTTGTGTCATCTGCATAACACAGATTGTTTATTATGGTCCATACAGTCAAATGCCTTTGCATAATCAATGAGAAGATATTGTTTGTATAATATCTATATCTGTAGTTCTTTGACTAGATTGTAAAACATAGAGTTTTTTTATAGATCACAGTGACGACAGATTAGTACATTTTACTATCATACACCTGCTTATGAAAACAGATGTTAACACTAAAGAAGATGTTAACACTTAACATGAATCATTTGCCATGTGCCAAACAATTCTGGTTCATTCAGTGCCAAAATCTTTTTCGCAGATTTTGCTGATTACCCATTAAGCAATTGAAACATAAATAGACATTATTTAACTCATAAAACTTGTTGTTGGTTGAGTACCCTGGAATCAGAACTTGGCCCATAGCTGTCCCCCCAGCAGATTTTCAGAGGCAGCGAGTTGCATGGGAGATAATTGCCCATCCTTCTCCCGATGAGCAGCTGTGGCTTTGAACTGGGTACCTTTGCATTCACAATACATGGCTTAAATAGTTTAAAAAAAAGAGAGAGAGAAAAATACTATGGGCAAATTATGATTCTTGGAAAGGCTAGAAATAAAATATTTATATTCCTGGTAAGCTTTTACTTTTGAACATATTTAAAAGGTGGAAATATTAAGTGCTGTCATTCAGTGAGCCAAATAGCATAGGTTGTTCTGCAATATTTGCAATGTTTTCCAACAGTCATTTCCAAACCGAACACCTTGCCATAGTGGACAGTGTGCACTGTCATTTCTCCTTAATGTGATCTCTGCTCCAAATATAGTTTTATCTGTCTATATTATTCATGGAATGAAACTATATATTTTCTTTATCCTCAGAAGCTGTCAGGCAACTTTTATATACCTGACTTTAAAACTCCGATAATATACCATTAGTATTAATCCTGTTTAACAATCAATTATTATTTTTCTACAAAACCTATATTTCAAGTTCTCGAACTTAGTTAGTGAAAGATAAGAACAATTTGATAAGTGAAGAGTTATTTTATTCCATACCTTCCTCACCTTAATACTTTTTCAAGTAATCTTGTGTGGACATTTGAATCTTAAAAGATACATTACTGGCAAGCTCTGGTAGCCTAGTGGCAGGAAACTGCACTGTAGTCCCAGAGGTGCACGGTTCAAATCCACCAGATACTCTTCTGAAGAAGGAGGAACAATCGCCTCCTGTACCAGTCAGATACGATTTGATGGTACACACATAAAATAAATAAATAAAAATTTAAAAAAAATTCTAAAAAAAAAAAAGATACATTACTCTTTTTCTGTTAAACATTTGATTGGTACTCTACCAGATGTTTGTGCCACTCCTATATTATATTGCTAAGCTTAAACACAGGATAGTGGTTTGGTGGTAAAGTTTTGGGGCAAAAGACTATACTTCCTCATTAATTTGTTATTAATAGAGATTCATGTTCTTAAAAGGTTGAAAATTTCTCTAGGTCCTTCTCCATCTCAATGTATTGTTCAACATTTTCCCTGCCTTTTCTGTGTGTTTCATTCACTTAAGCCCCAAAGTTAAGTTGTTCTCTCAGGAAATCCTCCCACGAGGCTACGTGTTAGGGAGCTCTGATGGCTTAGTGGTAAGGAATTGCACTGCCAACTGAGAAGCATGTGATTGAAATCCACCACTGTTGCTTCTCAAAGGCCACATTTTTCATCAGACTCTTTCAGAAAAGTAACCTTTTTCACCTTAACTGATCTTTGATCTGAAAGCCTTGAATGGATTTCTCCAAGATCCTTGACAATGAGGTGTGCTGCCAAGTCTCCAGTCCCCACTAGACTCTCTTCTTGCCGTCGAGGCAGTCTCACAAACCATGTTGGGACATGTCCCTCCACCACTCTTCCTTTGCCCTTTTCACCTCATTATGCAGATAACATGCTGTGGCCTATTGGGATGACAGCATGTTCATAGTGAAAATCAGGCCCTATCCCCTTGCAGAAGGTTGTTGTTAGATGCAATTGTGACAACTGTGACTCATCATGAACTGAGGAAGAACACATCTGAACTTGGTCCTTCTCTGCAACGTCCTCATGATCTCTGCCATGCTCACACCCATTGTTACAGTCACAGTGTCAGTCCACCTCAGTCACTGTCGTCTTCTCTTTCATTGGCTCTTTCATTTTCCAGCAAAGTCCCTTTTTCCAAAGGCTGGCTCCTCCTGGCAACGTGTCCAAAGTACATGAGACAACATTTCAGCATCCTTGCCTCCAAGTAGCGTCCTGGTTGTACTTCCTCCAAGATTTGTTTTTTATTTTGACAGCACACAATATGTTCTATCTTATTCCCCACCATCTAATTTCAGAGACATCGTTTCTGTCTTGTTCTTCCTTAGTCATTATTGTCCAACTCTCAGATGCGTAGGAGGCAATCAAAATACTCTGACTTAAATCAGGCACACCTTAGCCTCTAAACACATATCCTCACCCTTTAGTATTTTAAAGAGGTTTTGAAAGATTTCCCCAATGAAATACATCTTTTCACTTCTTGACTGCTGTTACCATGGAAATTGATTACAGAACCAAATAAATGGAAGTATTTTTCTTCACTTTCTCCAAGCAAGGTTATATCATCTGCATCATGCAGGTTGTTGATGAGTCTTCGTCTAATCCTGATGCTTATTTGTTCATAGTCCAACTTCTCAAATGTTTTGCTCAGTTTATGGATGTAATAGTGATGGAGGAAAGACACAATCCTGACAAACACTTTCCCTGATTTTGAACCATACAGTATTCCTTTGTTCCATTAAGATGGTAGCTTCTAGGTCTAGATCTAGCATGCTCACATGAGCACAATTAAGTGTTCTGAGAGTCTCATTCTTCTCTATGCTATCCATAATTTGTTATGATCCACACAGTCAAATACCTTTGCATAGTCAATAAAACAAGTATCTTTCTGATACTCTCTGCTTTCAACCAAGTTCTGTCTGACATCAGTAATGATAATCCTGTACTTGGCCTCTGCTGAATCTAGCTTGAATATCTGAAATTTCCAAATTGATGACCACTCTAGTAATTTTTTTTTAAATTTTATTATTTTTTGTGTGTGTGTGTACTGTCAAATCAGATCTGACTGGTACAGGAGGAGACTGTTCCTCCTTTCCCGGCAGAGCATCTGGTGGATTCGAACCATGCGCCTCTGGGATTTCAGTGCCGCTTCTTGCCACTATGCCACTAGAGCTCTCCAATTCTAGTAATTTAAAAAAAAAATATTTAGTAAGCTTTTACTAATCTTATTGTTCAATAACTTTTACATTGTGTTGGATCATCTTTTTTTTTGGAATGATAACAAAAATAAGAGATAAAAAGTTCCAAAAGAAAACACCGTTGGTGACACTTTGCTTTAGAGTTACTGTAAAGAAGTTGTACTATGATGTAATTAGAGCAATATAGAAGATAAGCCATTGTTGGCTTCATAGGAAAAAAAACTAACA